CGGGAGTGGCCACTGCACTCCAGTCTGGGCGACAGAGTGAGACTCCAACTCAAAAAAATGTTGGAGACATTAAGGAGTTTGGCTAAGCTGCAAAGCAGGTAAGGAACTAACACACAAGTCTCCAGCACAAAGCCCTGCCCATGGCAAGGGCTTAATACATTAATCTCTGTGTCAAAAAGACTCTCTCTGTTGTCACTGACAGGAGCACAACTCAAACCAGTTCACATAATCAAAACTTTCCAAGGTTTCAGGCATAGCTGGATCTGCAGGTTTAGGTAATGTCATCAAGATTTTTTCTCTCCATCTCTCAATTGTTCTTTCCTGTAGATTGACTTATACCTCCAACAGACAGCCCTCCCTCATGGTGACAACAGCTGGTTGTGTGAGAAGTCAGTAGGACAACTTCAAGCACAAAAGCAGAGCTTCTCCCAGAAATTTGGTTTCACAGGATTTGTTGACTTGGATCATATGGCCATCGCTGAATCAAACACTGAGACCAGTCTAGGTATGATGGTTCATGCCTGTAATCCCAGCACTTTGGGAGGCTGAGGTGAGAGGATCGCTTGAGCCTAGAAGTTCGAGACCAGCCTAGTCAACATAGTGAAACTTACAAAAGATCAAAAAATTGGCTGGATATGGTGGCACATGCCTGCATGTTGAGGCTGCAGTGAGCTGTGATTGTGCCATTTGCACCCAACCTGGGTGACAGAGTGAGACCCCAACTCAAAATAAATAAATATAAATTAAAAAATAACACTGAAGCCAGAGAATGCCTAATCAGTCAGACCTCAGGCTCAAGCCCACCCTGAGAAACAGGTAGTAGCCTCAATAGGAGGGGTCAGCGAGAAGACACAACGAAAGGACAACGGAAAGTCCACTATCTTCTTTATGGTTTCTTTCTAGCAGGAACTCCCCCTGTGGGACTAATAGAAATGATGACAACATCATACATCTGCTTTGTGCTTCCTAGTTTATAAAATACCTCTCAGATTGCCCCATTTAATTCTCACAAGCAGCCCACCAGGCAAGTGGCATCACTTTATATAGATGGGACAACTGAGAGTTGGAGACATTAAGGAGTTTGGCTAAGCTGCAAAGCAGGTAAGGAACTAACAGAGAGGCTGTGGAAAGGTGTGCAGGAAAAAGAGGAAGACGACACTAACCCCAGCAACTTCCTTTGTGTGTCAAGCTCTCCACCTCGTCCACCACCACATCCTCTCTTCCACTTCACAGTCTGCAGTCCCTCTACCTCCTCTTCCCCATTGCCTGCCTCCTGGGCCTTTCTCCCTTATCATTCTGATTCTGCCAGTTTCTGCCACACCTCTTCTCTGACCTTTGCTCCCGGCTCCAGGCTTGTTTTCCTCTGGACCTGAGAACCTCTGGCTCACTTTCACTCACCTGCCCTTCTCAACGCCTCACCATGTGCACAGGAAAGTGTGCCCGCTGCGTGGGGCTCTCCCTCATACCCCTCTCCCTGATCTGCATCGTGGCCAACGCGCTCCTGCTGGTACCTAATGGGAAGACCACCTGGACCAACGTTAACCATCTCAGCTTGCAAGTCTGGCTCATGGCTGGCTTCATCGGCGGGGGCCTGATGGTGAGAAGGCTGGCGAGGGAGCCCAGACCAGGGGCCTGGGCACCACTCTAAGGGGTTCTGAACAGGAGGAAGAGGGAGAGAAGGAAAAAGATGGCTGCCTGAGAGGGGATGGCAATGGCTTGGTGGGAACTAGGAGCACACCCAGTCCTCCCCCTACATGCTGAGCACTCTGTCGATGGTTCTGGAGGAGCCACAGGGTCCTAGGCTGAACATCTGAGGGTAACAGGAAGGAAGGAAGCCTCACTACTCTAAAGAGATTCCTGACAGGGTAAGGAGCATTTCCTACCTGTCCCTCCCTGCCCCCACTGTTGAGCAGATGCTGGGAATACCTCACTACAAGGGTTGAGGCAGGAGCAGCTGGTTTCAGGTTATGTTATCGGGGAAGGATTGTAAGAGGCATGGAGGGTGGACTACAGTGAAAACCTCTGGAGTCAGTGAGTGACATCATGGATCAGTCACTTTACCTATTAGCTCACTGGCATCCTCCCCCACCTCCACACCCATTCACTCAGCCCACATTTCTAGATGCCCACTTTGTGCTGGATACTAAGGACAGACTCCGAACTGGGTAAGCATGGAAGACAAGGGGCCCCCAATTCTTCCTGAAGACTAAGCTCTGTCAGGAGAAGTAGAGGAAGAGGAGACAGTGAGTTCCCAGGCTCACTGACTCCCATCCTCCAACTCCCTACCCATCTAGGGAAACTTCTGGATGGTCAACCTGTTAATAGTTAATATCATCATGCAATACAGACAAAAGATCTTCCCGGCACAGTTCCCCACTTCTCAGGATGGTTGATTAAGGGCATTCTCCAGGAAAGATCTCACCTTCATCCCTTTCACCAGTCACACCTCTAATAGCTAAAAGAAGACACCTCTACTTTAACCAACAATTCCCTCTTACCCCTGGCATCTTTTTTCTGACTCCTTCCTTCTGCATGGATTCATGGCTTCTCCACTCTACTCCATCCCTTGAACTCTACTCTCTCTGAGATGTCACATTTTTTTCCTCAGGACTACACACTTATCCAGTGTCACACTGCTTCCCTTCCCTGGCCTAACCATCCCCATCTCCTCACACTCTTCTGCCCAATCTAACCAGCCCACTTCAGAAGAGATCTCCGAGGTTGCCCTTCTAATATACTCATTCACAGCTTCTTTCCTCTCATCTCTGTGCCCAGAGTCACTCTCAAGAAGCACCACCCTATGCCACGGGGATACAGATAAGGTCCCTGCTCTCCCTGAAACTTGTGCTCCCATTAGCGAGGCAACTGGTATAAAGGAAGCAGGACTGTAAATGCCACGTAAGCAAGGACTGCCTGTTTTATCGGCAGCTCTGTGTCCAGTGTATAGACTGGTACCTTGCACTTCACAGGCACTCAATTGATATCACTGGATGGCTGAAGTAAATAAACAAGTAGATGATTTCAGATAGAAGTAGGTACCATCAGAAAATAAAGCAGAGTGCTGTCATAAACAGCTCCCAGGCAAGGTGGGGGTCACTTTTTATAGCATTTTCAGGGCGGGCCTCAATGAAGTAGGTAATGTCCGAAATGAGACCCAAATGACAAAAAGAAGGTGTGAGTATTGCTGACCAAGGGACAGGCAAGTACAATGCCTAAGGTGAGAACAGACTCCACACTTCTGAGGATCAGACAGGGGGCTCATACAACTGAGGTTTAATAAGATGAAGTCTAGCCAGGCTCGGTGGCTCAGCCTGTAATCCTGCTCCTTTGGGAGGCTGAGGTGAGTGGATTGCCTGAGCCTGCGGGTTCGAGACCCGCCTGGGCAGCGAGACCTCATCTCTACAATAAATCAAAAAATTAGCCTGGCATGGTAGCCGTGCCTGTAGTTCCAGCTACTTGGAAGGCTGAGGCGGAAGGATCGCCGGAGCCCAGCAGGTTCCCAGCAGCCCGGGAGCGGCCACTGCACTCCAGTCTGGGCAACAGAGTGAGACTCCAACTAAAAAAAAAAAAAAGATGGGGTCTGAGGAGGGCAGAGACTAGGCCGTCTACACCCTTAAAAGGCACAGGGATAATTTTAACTATCATTATAAGTAAAACAGAAAACTATTGAAGGACTTTAAAAAAAATTTTTTTTTAACTTTTTACTTAAGTTATGCAGACAAGTGCCCGGATCCTTAGCATACAGCTCAATGAATTTTTACAAAGAGAACACACCCATGTACCTTGAGCCCAGATCAAGAAACACATCATTACCAGAATCTCAGACATGCCTCTTACCACACACTACCCCTCACCACGAGGGTAATTACTACTCTGTCTTCTCTTGAATTGGAGTCTCACTCCGTCGCCCAGGCTGGAGTGCAGTGGCATGCTCATGGCCACCCCAGCGTCGACCTGCTGGGCTCTGGTAATCCTTCCACCTCAGCCTTCCGAGTAGCCAGAACTATAGTCACACGTTACCATGCCCAGCTAGTTTTTTATTTATTGTAGAGATGAGGTCTTGCCAATTTGCCTGGGCTGGTCTCGAACCTGCAGGCTCAGGCAATCCACTCGCCTTGGTCTCCCAAAGTGCTAGGATTACAGGCTGAGCCACGGAGCCTGGTCACTAATCTGTCTTCCAACTCCAGAGACTAGTTTTGCCTATTTGCTACCTTATATAACTGGAATTATGCCATCTGTGCTCTTTTGTATCTGGCTTCTTTAGCTCAGTATTATGTTTGTGAAAGTCATCCATACCATTAGGTGTAGCAGTAGGGTTTTTTTTTTTAATTTCTTACACATTTTGTTGTGTGAATATACTTCAATTTACTTAAACATTCTACTGTTGAAGGACATTTAGATAGCTCCCTGTTTTGATTTTTTGCAAATAATGCTGCAATAAACATTTCTGTAGATGTCTATAGGTAAAATATATGTGTGCATTTCTGATATACAAGAAGGGACTCCCCCCCCAAAAAAAAAAAAAAAACAGAATTATATTTTGGAGGGCAGGCCCCATATAGTACAGGGTTCCTCTGTTAGGTAAGTGTTCTAGGAACCCATCAGCATCAGCATACCAGTTAGCATTGTGAGAGGCTGCATTCAGCCTCAGTTAATTTTTTTTTTTGAGATTCTTTCTTTTAATGCATTTGCCCATTTCGTGATGGGTGATTTACGAGCATACCTGCCCACACCATACTGAGTGTTCAACAGTTTTTGACCAAAAACGGTGTGACTACCATGCCCCACCCTCCCTATTCACCTGCTCTCACTCCCAGCGACTTTTTTTGTTTGTTTGTTTTCCTGGATGAAAAAAGTCCTCAAAGGGAAACATTTTGCTAATGTGGAAAAGCTGAAACAAAAAATGGCAGAAGCACTAAAAGGTTTGACAAGTTCAAACACTGTTTTGAGCAGTGGAAAAAGCATCTCAATAGGTATGTGCATCAAGCGGGGAGTACTTTGAAGGTGACTGAAGTTTAAGCATGTAAGAATAAATATACAACTTTTTATAAACAAATTCCATTTTGGGGGTCCCCCCTCATACACTTAGGACTAAAATTGCTGATTCTTAAGGTATGCAAATATTCAGTGTTAATAGACATTGCCACTTTTTTGTAGCTCTTGTACCAATTTTATCCCATCAGCACAGCATGAGAGTTCTGGTTGCTTCACACCCCATTGGATTGAAGAAGACCCTTCAGGCTACCGTATGGAGAATGAGTAGTAGGAGGCCAGCAGTAGATACAGACAGACCAGACTGAGGTCACTGCAGCTGTCCAGGAAGGATGAGAATGGCTTGGCCTAGGCCAGTGGCCACAGAGATGGAGAAAAGTGAGCAGATTCAAGCTTTAAACTGTTTCCTCCTGCATTTACAATAGCCCTTCCCTTTTTATTAAAACAATGAGATAGCCCTGGGCTCGGTGGCTCAGCCTATAATCCCACGCTTTGGGAGGCTGAGGTGAGTGGATTGCCTGAGCCCAGGGGTTCGAGAACTGCCTGGGCAACTTAGTGAGACCTCATCTCTACAATAAATAAAAAAATTAGCCGGGCGTGGTAGCACGCGCCTGTAGTTCCAGCTACTTGGAAGACTGAGGCAGAAGGATCGCCGGAGCCCAGCAGGTGGAGGCTGCAGTGACCGAGAGTGGCCACTGCACTCCAGTCTGGGTGACAGAGAGAGACTCCAACTCAAAAAAAACAAAACAAAACAATGAGATGGCAAGACAGAGGAGCTCAGACCACAAAGAGAAGCAAATACTTTAGCCAAAAGAGTAAAAATCTCAAACAGGTAGTTCATTCAAAATTGCTAAATCTGCCAGGCACAGTGGCTCAAGCTTGCAATCCCAGCAATTCGGGAGGCCAAGGAGAGAGGATGGCCTGAACCAGTCTGGGCAACTTGGTGAAACTTTGTCTCTACAACAAATCAAAAAGTAAGCCAGGTATGGTGGCACACACCTGTAGTTCCAGATACTTGGAAGACTGAGACAGAAGGATCTCCTGAGCTCAGCAGGTAGAGGCTGCGGTGGCCGTGAGTGTGCCACTGCACTCCAGCCTGGGCGAATGAGTGAGACTCCAACTCAAAAAAAAAAAAAAAATGACTAAGTCCAAAAGGCAATTGTAGGTGTGTTTGGATTCAGGAGGCTCCCAATAAGTGACCTAACCAAAGAGAGTAAGAAAGGGGTCAGCACTGGCCCTGGGCCTGTGATGAGACAGGAAGAGGGGAAAGTGTTCAGTGGAAAGTTAGGTCAACTCAGCAGGTGCTTCTCTGAGGTGACTGTGGATGGTAACTAAAACTCTCAGCCCCTTCCCTGGAGAAGAACAAAATGCTACGGTATGGTGTGTGCCAGATAAGGGGAGCAAAGATCAAGATGGCTGTGGAATTCCAGAGATGAGAAGTGGGCAAAGAACCTGGACTGGTACAAAAACAACAAAAAAGATAAGGCTGGAGCCTTAGACTGAGGAGCCTCAAATGGCTTGTGAGCGTTCAGTGTTGATGTGTTACTCTGTGAAGACCCCCTAAAGGGTTTGAACAGAGAAAAGACCAGTTGAAAGCGATGCCTAATCTTGTGGTGGCATGTAGGGCGATGTGTGGGGTGGCATGGGGCAAGAGCTGTAGGAATCTAGTAGGGAGGCGAGAAAATCATCATCATGGAAGGTGATTAGGGATCGAATATAGCGAAGGAAAAATCTCAAACTGACAGATTTAGGAGTCATTTTTTTAAAAGTCGAAAAAACCTGAGGTTTGGCTGGGTGCAGGACTAAAGTTTTCCAACCTAGCTAACCTGGAGGATGATTTTTTTTTTTCCACTGAAAAAGACAAGAAAGTCAAAGGAAGATGAATTTGGGGGAATATTGTGAGTTCAGTATGAATCTGGCCAGATTTAAGCTAAAACCAAAACATTTAAGTGAACATATCTTTCAGCAATAGATTTGGATCTAGAGGCATCACCCATTTTGGAGGTGACTATTGATGGAGGGAACAACTGATTGCCTGGGAAGGGATCGTCTTTGTGAGGAAGGCCACAGGGAGAAAAAAATTACCACAGACTGAATCTTGGGAAATCCTACACTCGACATCAGAGAATCCCATACTCTCCCATACTCTATTATAATTCCAAATGATCCCAATTCATCAGACATTCCAATACCACTATCCCTTCCTGCTGCCAAATAAATGTATAGTTATTGAGCACTTACTTTGAGCCAATCTTGACATATCTTATTATCTCATTAAATCCTGAGAATATGCCTGAGTCCAGGGGTCTGATACCAGCCTGGGCAACTTGACGAGACCTTGTCTCTACAATAAACAAAAAAATTCACCAGGCATGATGGCTCATGCCTGTAGTTCCAGCTACTTGGAAAGCTGAGGCGGAAGGATCACCTGAGCCCATCAGGTTAAGACTGTGGTGGCCGTAAGCATGCCACTGCACTCCAGCCTGGGCGACAGAGTAAGAATCCAACCCAAAAAAAAAAAAAAAGTCCTGAAAATAGCCCTGTGAGGTAGGTCTTGAGACCCCAGAGAGTTGAATCGATTCACAGTGTGTGAAGTAGTACAGGGTTGGCCTTAAACCCAGTCTGCCTGAATTCTATTCAGTTGGGCACCCAAGATTTATGGAGAATATAATGATATTGGGCTCTACCCTCTAGGAAGCCACAATCTGGACAGAGATAAAGTAGGTACATAAATAATGATAAATTATGGTAAAGCCCAACAGCCCTCCAGGAGAGGTAGAGATAAAGTCTTCCTATAGTCCAAAGGGCTGAGGACATCACAGGTAACCTCCCATAGGAGGTAAGCACGAAGCAAGTAAGGCCTTGAGGATGGGGGGGGCAGTGAGGCACTGTCACACTGACTCTTTCTTGTCCCACAGGTACTGTGTCCAGGCATTGCAGCTGTTCGGGCAGGGGGAAAGGGCTGTTGTGGTACAGGCTGCTGTGGAAATCGCTGCAGGGTAAGACCCACATTAAGAAGGAATTTGGGGCGGACACAGTAGCTCACACCTGTAATCCCAGCTCTTTGAGAAACGGAAGGATCACTCGAGCCCAGGAGTTCAAGACCAGTCTGGTCAACATGGCAAGACCTTGCCTCAGAAAGAAAAGAAAGGCAGTAATGAAGAACGAAAGAAGGAAAGAAAAAGAGGGTGGGAGAGAGAGAAACAAATTTTTAAAAAGCAGCCAGACATGGTGGCACATGCCTATAGACCCAGTTACTTGAGAGGCTGAGGAGTAAGGATCATCTGAGCCCAGGAGGTCGAGGCTGAGTGAGCCATAATTGTACCACTGTACTCCAGCCTGGGCGACAGAATGAGACCCCGACGCAGAAAAAAAAAAGAGAGAGGGAGAGAAGAAATTCAGGACTCGGTCCCTGAATCCATCCTGCAGAACCACGGCACTCTACCTAATTCCTAGCTACAAGAACTCCTCTGCAGAGTCCCAGTCCACCTCACCCCTTCCTTGCACCCGCAAATTTGAGGTCTCCATGAGTCAGGCCAGAGGGGACTACAACATCCATGAACGCCCGTGGCCGCTGGCTCTTAGGGTTAGCCTAACTCAAGCCCGGAGTTTGACGGGAAATGTATTTTAAACCTGACTCGAGAAGAGCGTGGTGATGTGGGGGTGGGCCAGGCGCAGGGGATCCATGAGTGGGGAGGTTGCGACCCTACTCTCTTCACCCTCCCCACCGCATCCAGATGCTGCGCTCGGTCTTCTCCTCGGCGTTCGGGGTGCTTGGTGCCATCTACTGCCTCTCAGTGTCGGGAGCCGGGCTCCGAATCGGCCCCAAATGCTTGAGGAACAGCGAGTGGGGCTACCACTTCGAAGACACCTTGTAAGGTCTAGCCTGTGTTTGCATCCCCCATTATCTACCTCTTCCCACCTCTCTTCCCACGTGGGCTGGGAAATCTGGGTGGGACTCGGCTTCGAAGAGCTCCCTCCAAGTAGGCCTACCAAGTCCTGGGCAAATTCCCTTTGATGTGTGTACAGGGTGGGGTATGGGGCCTCAGGCCTCACTACCTCCTCTCCTGTGACCTTACCCCACCCACAGAGGCACCTACTTGCTCAACCACACTCAATGGGATTTGTGTGAGGAACCGCCTCACGTGGTCACGTGGAATGTGACACTTTTCTCCCTGCTGGTAGCCGCCTCGTGCCTGGAGATTGTGCTGTGTGGAATACAGCTGGTGAACGCCACCCTTGGTGTCTTCTGTGGCGATTGCAGGAAAAAAGAGGTGGGATGGCATGGGGTGGAGTGGTAGAGGGACCCTACTTGCTCCTGGCTGCATCTTTACTTTCTCTTTTCCATAGGATGCCACTCACTGAGGCTCCGTCGACCTCGCTGTTATACCTGCTCACTTCTGGACCTGGACTCACACCTGGCCCACCCTAGCTCGCTGGAATAAACTGCTTTGAGCTCTCTTCCCTGTCTCAGATTGTGCCCTATGCAAGGAAGAGAGTGCAAGAGCCCTGAGACAGACAAGGGCTTGGGACCCCTGCACTCCACTTTTTTTTTTTTTTAAACAGATATTGAACTATTAGGTTACGTGGGAAATACAGTGATAAACAAGACAGACAAGTTCTGGAGTGGAAGATGGACAATTGTTTTTAAGGCAAAGGATTATTTCAATTGGTAATAAGCATTTTCTAAAAATATGTTGAGGCCAGGTAAGCTGTCTCACTTTGTGAGGCTGAGGCAGGATTGCTTGAGCCCAGGAGTTCAGGGACTAGCCTAGCAACATAGAGAGACTTTGTCTCAAAAAATTAGTTGGGCTTGGTTGTGCACTCCTATAGTCCCAGCTACTCAGAAGGCTGAGGCAGAAGGATCACCTGAGCCCAGGAGGTCGAGGCTGCAGTGGGCCTTGATGGTGCAACTGCACTCTAGCCTGGGTGACAGAGTGAGACCTCCACTCAAAACAAACAAACAACAACAAAAACGTTGGTAGGGCTGGGCACAGTGCCCCAGGCCTGTAATACCAGTGCATTGGCAGGCTGAGGTGCAAGGATCTCATTCTGGGGGGGAGGGGTCAGAGTCTCACTGTGTTGCCCAAGCTGGGTTGCAGCGGCACACTCATGGCCACCACAGCTTCTACCTGCTAGGCTCAGGCCATTCTTCTGCCTCAGCCTTCCAAGTAGCTGGAACCACAGGCACGAGCCACCATGCCCGGCTAATTTTTTGATTTATTGTAGAGACAAAGTCTCACCAAGTTGTCCAGGCAAGTCTCAAACCCCTGAGCTCAGACAATCCTCTCACCTCCACTTCCCAAAGTGCTGGGATTACAGGCATGAGCCATCACACCCCACCAATGCAAGGTTCTCTTAAGGCCTTCTTTGAGGCTGCAATGAGTTACGATCATGCCACTGCACTCCAGCCTGGACAACAAAGAGACCTTGTCTCTAAAAATAAAATAAAAAGTCGTTGGTAATGGGATAGATATTGACTGATGGAGGTGTGATAGCCATCAGGATACCTGAGGGATTGCCAGCAGAGAGAACAGCAAGGACAAAGGTTCTAACCAGGAATCAGTATTTAAAATACTTAGTGCCGGGCTTGGTGGCTCAGCCTGTAATCCCGTGCCTTTGGGAGGCTGAGGTGAGTGGACTGCCTGAGCCCGTGGTTTCGAGACCCGCCTGGGCAACTTGGCAAGCCCTCATCTCTACAATAAATCAAAAATTAGCCGGGCGTGGTAGCGCGCGCCTGTAGTTCCGGCTACTTGGAAGGCTGAGGCGGAAGGATCGCCGGAGCCCAGCAGGTCGAGGCTGCGGTGGCCGGGAGCGGCCACTGCACTCCAGTCTGGGCGACAGAGTGAGACTCCAACTCAAAAAAATAAAAAAAAATAAAATAAAATACTTAGTATAGATATTGTTTGGGTTTTGTAGGAGAAAATAATGGAAACTATGAAAAAGACACTTTAGCCTCTTGAGCTCTAGAAAATGAAGGCTTCACCTGTAATCCCAGCACTCCGGGAGGCAGAGACGAGAGGATTACCTGAGCTCAGAGGTTCAAGACCAGCCTGAACAGCTGGGCGTGGTGGCATGCATCTGTTGTTCCAGCTACTTGGAAGGCTGAGGCAGAAGAATCACCTGAGTTCAGCAGGTCCAGGTTGTGGTGACCGTGAGCATGCCACTGCACTCCAGCCTGGGCAACAGAGTGAAACTCTGACTCAAAAAAAGGAAAAAGAAAACGAAAGCTTAAAGCAGCTGTAGCCTTGTTACCTCTGTAGTGCCAAATTCCCAAAGACCCCAAATGGGAAGGAACCAAGAGGCCAAGTAAGTAATCTGGAAACAACAGACCAGACATGGGCTTCTTTTTTTTTTTTTCTTTTTTATTATAAAGATGCGGGGTACAATTCAGGGTTAGGTATACAAATGTTGATTTTGCAGGTACCCTTGATGAGGTATGCCAGACATGGGCTTTATTTGGCTGCTTACTTACAGGGAAGATGGTCCAGGAGCATCAGTGGACAGGAAAAAATCACTCCTGATTTTAACGGGCACACAGGTTCTTTTTTTTTTTTGAATAGGAGTCTCACTCTGTTGTCAAGGCTGGAGTGCAGTGGCATGCTCAAGGCCACCACAGTCTCAACCTGCTGGGCTTAGGCGATCCTTCTGCCTCAGCCTGCAAAGTAGCTGGAACCAAAGGTGTGTGCCACCACACTCAGCTAATTTTTTGATTTGTGGAGAGGAGGTCTCACCATGTTGCCCAGGCTGGTCTCGAACCCATGGACTCAGGCAATCCTCTTGCCTCAGCGGCACATAGGTTCTACAGCATTCTACATAGGGCAGAGTGCAGGGTTAAACATGAAAAGGGTAGGATTTCTAGTGCGTAAGCACAAAGTGAGAAGGTGCTCATACACACATAGCATGTGCACAAAATGACTGTGAATTCTCTCTAGGGATGGATTTTTAGTGTTATAATGAACTAAAGGTGAACTAAAGGTAACCAAAGCTTATGGACATTGATCCAGGCATGCCAGTTCTGGTTTGAACCAGCCCAGGGAGCCAACTGCCACAAAGAAGGGTGCATGAGAATATTCACTATATACAGCAGCAAGATGTGGTCAGCAGGCACAGAAAACACTTTGTCCATGGCCTCAGCATGACCTGCATGACCAGGCCAGAGCCTAAGGGGAAGGGGACCTCCCAGATTGGCCACTCCCAGGACCCCTACCCAGCCTCCAATCCCTGCTTGCGGCCATATCTAAGGTGTGGTCATGCTGTCATTGAGTGTGTCGCCCTACAAGCTCCTAATTTGGTAGAATTTTCTTAATCCGAGGTCACCAATGGTTCAGAAAGGAGATAACTTGGGCTCTTAATGGGGGCAAAGTGTCTGCAGATTCCCTCAGACAGCCAGAGACTTCCTTCGTTTGTCTGAAAAATTATGTTTACCGTGCGTTTTTCTGGTCCGTGGGTCAGTAACTTTCATCAGTCTGCCGTGGATCCCTGAGACCAAACCTGAATGAAGGCCTAGCCCAATGCTCAATTAGGAGAGAAAAGGAGATGCAGCTTCCTGTCCCTAAAACAGTCGAGACCAAAGCCAAGACAGAGAAGCTTTAATAGCAGGAGGTGGGACTAACCTCCGGGACGGGGAGGTGGGGCTAGCCTCCGGGATGCGGCGGTGTCAACTGCAGCAGCAGAAAAAGCGCACGTCGTTCAGCGCGGTGTCATCGCGGAGGCCTTTAGGTTCCTGGATCTTGGTCTGCAGGCCGCACATGCCTTTGGGGCATCGATCGCTCCAATCTCCAAAGTCTCCCCAGCTCAGCCCAGGCCCTTCCAGTTCTGCGCTGTCCGAGCAGCGGAAGCGCACATTGTTGGCTGCCGTGTTGTCACTGACAGTCACAGGCGCCTCCACGCGAAGCGAGAAAGCCACTAGGAAGCTGCTGTCGGGACACCACAGCGGCTCACTCCACGCACCCCACCTGTAAGGGAAGGGGAGGGGCGCTGGCTCTGCGGGCGCCCCCTACCCACCTCCAGACCAACCAGCCCTTGGGACTTTACAAGCTAAGTGCCACAGGACCCCAGTGGGTTGGGTCTAGCCACCCGACCTTCACCAAGATGCGGAGGGAAGGTCGTCCACTCACCCCCCAGGTCTAACCTGCGCCCTCAAGGAGCCTGCCTATTAGGAGGGGCGTAGGTAACCGAGGATAAGGGACATGCCCTCTCCCTAGGGGGGCGTTGACCCCAGTCTCCCACCTTCCAGCCTGGGACTCCACCACATGCGTGTTGAGTCCTGCTTGCCCGCGTGTGCAGTGCAGCCGGATCCCGTTCAGAGCCGTGTCGTCGCCAGGAATGCCTCGGGAGGGCTCCACCTGGGCAGGAGAGGAGGAGCTAGGACGAGTTAACGGACTGCGGTTCTTGGCTCGGCCGTCCCGCGCACCTCAATCCCCTCCAGGACCCAGGCCTGAGCCCCCACCTTCAGCGAGAACCCGCCGGCAAAGAATCCCTCAGGACACATTTCAGGCCAGGTCCAGTCGCCCCAGGACCCCCCGTTGGACACGTCGATGACCGACGTGTAGCCTCTCGGACAGTCTCCCTGCGCGCGTCTGCAGCACGTCGCCCACAGCAGCAGAATCCGCAGCAGCCTGGCTCCCGCTCGGAGCTCCATCTTTCAGGGTCTGTGAACTAGGTTGGCTAAGCAGGTTTTTTATCAGATTGGCCGCTAGGGGAGCTCCGATTGCGAAAGGACTCTGGGATTAAGAGACACCCGAAACTAATCCGCTCCTGGAACACTGCAGACTCGATTTCCTGTTCCGAAAAGCAGAGGCTCCCAGCTCGAGGGGAGGAGGGGCAGTGAGTAGATGAACTGAAATAACCACCACCTACTGAACGTTTACTATAGGCTCAAATTGTGGTTAGTGCTCTGCAGATGTATTTTATTTAATCCTCACAATTTTTAGGAGGTGAGAATTACCCTTCCTATTTTGAAGATAAGGGAACTGGGGCTCAGAAATGACAAGCGACTTGCTTGAGTTAATAGCCAGAAAGCCAGGAAACATTCCAGCATGTAACCTGAGATCAGGGCCAGGGATGGAGGTGATTTCATGGGAATGCCACAAGGGAGAGGATTGATCAGAGGCAACCAGGGGTCTCTAGGGTATGAGACGGCATCAGAATGAGGTTAGAGCGAGAACCCATGAACTGTAGGAGCTAGAAAGGGTGTTCTTTGTTGGTGGTGGGTTTTGGGGGGGTTGTTTGTTTATTTGTTTTCTAGAGTTGAGGTCCCACTCTTAGCCCAGGATTGAGTGCTGTGGCACATCGCTGCTCACCGCAGCCTCAACCTCCTGGACTCAGGCAATCTTTCTGCCTCAGCCTCATAAGTAGCTGGGACTACAGGCGTGTGCCACCAGGCCCAGCTCATTTTTGTGATTTTCTTGTAGAGAGGAAGTCTCACTGTGTTGTTCAGGTTAGTCTCGAATTCCTGAGTTCAAGCAATCCTCCTGCTGCAGCCTTCCAAAGTGCTGGGATTACAAGTGTAAGCCAGCAGGAAGGATCTTCTTAGAGACTGGGGCCCTTGCCCCTTGAGAATCTGGGATACCTCTCCCCAGTCCAGAATAAAATATACACAGAAGCCAGGCTCGGTGGCTCAGCCTGTAATCCCGCGCTTTGGGAGGCCGGGGTGAGTGGATTGCCTGAGCCTGCGGGTTTGAGATCCGCCTGGGCAACTTGGCGAGACCTCATCTCTACAATAAATCAAAAATTAGCCAGGTGTGGTAGCACATGCCTGTAATTCCGGCTACTTGGAAAGTTGAGGCGGAAGGATCGCTGGAGCCCAGCAGGTCGAGGCTGCGGTGGCCGGGAGCGGCCACTGCACTCCAGTCTGGGTGACGGAGTGAGACTCCAATTAAAAAAAAAAAAAAAATATATATATATATATATACACACACACACACACACACACACACACACAAAGAGAGACAGGAACAATTCTGAGAAGTGTAAGGGCATGGGACTAAGAACAGATGACACTGTTTCTTCAATTGCTTTCAGCGTCTTGTATCCTTTCCTGGAATACCTTTCGTCCCATGACCAACAGGTGGACTCCTAATTTGCAAAACAAAATACAGAAATTAAACTGGCTAAATTTGTTAGAGGCCACTGCCTCTGATTTACCTATCCCTCATATATGTTCCTTTGTTTATTCAATACTTTTTTCTTAAGCTATAGTGTTTTGACTCAAGCAATATTCCAAGTCCTGTGTGCAATCAAGAAAAACAAATCTCGTCTTCATCAAAGCTCACATTCACAAAGGATAAATTCTCCCCCAGTGGACCTTGAACTGTGAAGGCACTTTTGTATCCTCAAAGCCTAGTACAGGGCCTGGCATGCGGAAGTAGTTAATAAAGCTTCATGTGATGAATGATTGGGAAGCCGATCTGGGGTTTTCAAAATTAAATCACAAAAATGTAAAAGGATAAAGTAAAGTATATGATTGAGAGGTCATGTATCCAGATCAAGACAAAGTCCCCTGGGGATATGATAATTTAGAAGTGGGCGTTCCCTGGATCTCAGAGGCCCCCCCAGAGCTTGAATTTAGAAAATAAGATTTATAGGGCAATTGTGGTCAGCTTTTTCATTTACAGTGTTTTCACACACACTGTCATTTAATCTTCATACGGGACTTGCAAAGTACCTATTATTAACCTTAACTAACAATGAGAGAACTCAAGCCCAGAGTTAATTTAAGGCACAAGCCACTGCTCAGCAGGAGAGCTGGTTCTGACCCCTGCCCCTCTTCCCAATACCCGGCTGGCCGTAGGGGAAAGGAAATACAAAGATCCGCCATTACCACCGAACCCCCCAAATTCCCTTCCTCCGGTCTCTCACACACAGGCCAGGGCAAAGGGCACAGGGGAAGGGGCCTTAAGTAGGTTAATTATTAATCCTTTGCGCCTCAGGGCGCCGCGGGCTTCTCTCCCCTCCAGGAGGCGGAGGGATACGGACTGGCTAGGGGTTGGTGAGGGGGCGGTGGTCCCAGCAGCAACCATGGGGGTCGCAGTGCGGCCCCCGGCCCAGAGGCACTGGTTCCGCCGCTCAGTTCCTTTCGCTATCTTCGCATTGCTGCTTCTTTATCTCAGTGCTTGGAGACTAGGTGAGTAGCCCCTTCCCTCTCCTGCTCTGAAAGGAACCCAGGAGTCCAGTCCTTCGCGACTCAAACTCCCTTCTAGAGCCCTCACCGTTCCGCTTCGCCTCTCGCCAGGCGCCTTCTCAGGCTGCGGATCGGCACAGGCCTGCATTCAGGAGGCGCCTACGCCCTTCCAGGTAAGTGCGCGCGGGGGGGGGAGGAATGCCGCGCTGGACCTGGGAGCGTCAGGTGGAACCCTGAACAGGGGAAGTGGAGCCAGGCCGAGAATCTAGCGAAGGGCGGGTCCGCCTCTGCCTCTCCTCTCTCCGCAGCACCTGAGAGTACAGCAAGAGGGACACCAGTTAGAACTTAGGAACAACGTCTTCAGAGCCTAACCGGGCTGCTTGCTAAGAAGGCCCAGCAGGCTAGGGGCTCTTCTCCTGCCCCCTTCCTTCCTGTCTAACCTGCAGGCCCGGCAAGGTTCGCCACCCCCGGAAGCCCCGGAGCGGGAAGAGCCTCTGTGTCTGGGACCTCGGGGCCTGCTGGGCCGCATGATGAGGCCGTTCCGCGCCAGTCTGAATCCCGAGGGGGATGTGGAGCTATCGCAGTACCTGGCAGGATGGGGGGAACTAGTCAAGTGAGCGGTCTCCCTCTCCCAACCCAGTCCCCGCCTCTTTGTGGTTCCGTCGGCCGCTCTCAAACCGTCTTCCCCACCCCACCATCCAACACACAGGCTCCTGACTCCGCTCGGCTCCATCTTCGCCTTCGCCACTAGCGAGGCCTCCACCAAGGTGACAGCCCTCGAGGCTCGGGTGCACGGCGCGGACGCGGGGCACTACACGTCGCTGGCGGCCATGGCGGCGTGGGAACGGCGGGCGGGACTGCTGGAGCCGCCCGGCGCCGCCCCTCCGGACTTGGCCCGCTCCTCGGGCTCACGCACGCTGCTCCTGCTGCACCGCGCGCTGCGCTGGTCCCAGCTCTGCCTCCACGGGG